GCATGAACTGGACCCTTCACCAGGAAGACAGAAAGAAAGCCATAAGAATACAGTCATGTTGGAAGATAAATCTACTAGTAAAACGCTCTTGGGGACCACAAGTAATAGCACCCTTGGATATTCCAGAATGAAAAAGAAACAGGAATCAAGTAGGGGTATAAGATACATCAAAATTTTTATCAGCATGAATAGAGAAGTGCATTTCAAATTAAAATCCAAAAGGCTAAACTCTCAAAATGCCTAAATTACTAGGAAAAAAAGGAATTGCTGGGACCCTAAAAATTCATCATTAGCAATAAATGATGTAAGTTATATAAGGAAGAAAACCTGACTTTTCTACAGAAATTAAAATTTGGTTAGAGGAAAAGAGTCAGAAGTGTCAGGAATCAGATTCCTCTGAGAGGTGGGTGCACACGGAAAAACCCTTAAAACTGATCCATTGTAGAGGTCATGTGAAAGAACAGACTGCTCAGTTCTACTGATAAAAACAGAGATGGTTTTTTTCTCAGTTGCCTGTAGATTATCATCTTAATCATAGACGATGTCACAGTGTTCTGAGAAAGATGGGCAACACCGCTGAGGAACAAGTTCTAGACTTGTTGGTGAAAGCCCCTATCATACTCATAGCCAGACACAACCTGAACCATTCTGATGGAGCCAGCAAAGCTAACTTTATATTATTCTCTTTTTCTTACTTATGTGTATTAAATATAACACTATTTCCTAATGAGAATACCTGAATTGGGAATGATAATAGGTGCTATATCGAAATCGTTTTGATGCACTCTTCCTAGGGTTAAGCTTTCAACATTCCTATTGCCACATCTATGTCACCAGTTTCATACTGTGGGACTGAGACCCCAGTCTAAAAGGTTTTCTGGGTAAGCTTGCCAGATTTAACAAAGAAAAATGCAAGAGACCTGGTTAAATTTGAATTTCTAACAAACAACAACAAAAAACTTAGAAAATCATCTTGGAATGACCAAAAATCCAAGGGCACTAGGCATACATATATACATATATACATACATACACACAAACAGATAGATAAATATAGAGATAACATATATTTTTACTAAACAGGAATAAGAAGAATTAAATGGAAGAAGAAAATAGGGAAGAAAGAAAGGGAACATATGAGTATGACTGACAGTTAAGGCCATATTTTTTTTTCTTAAAAAAATACAACTAACAGTTAAGGGCATCAATTCTTTTTGTAGTTAAACATCCATCCTTTCAGGTTTCCCATTTGAAACCCATGGTATTCCCAAGAGTAAGAGTACAAACTACAGAGCAGAAGACGTTATGTATATCAGTAAGAGAAACAGTAGAAAATGTATGCTAGCAAATTTTTAAGATATCACTTCCCCCTGGTGGGGCAGCCTTGCCAGGCCACAGAGAAAGAGGATGCAGGCAGTCCTGATGGGACTTGATAGGTTAGGGTCAGATGGTAGGGGAGGAGAGCTTCCCCTTTCTGTAGACTAGGGAAGAAGGACAGGGGGCACGAGAGAGGGAGAGTAGGACCAGGAGGAGATGAGGGAGGGGGCTACAATTGGGATATAAAGTGAATAAATTAAAAAAAAACTAATAAAAACTTAAAAGAAGAAAAAAGATATTAATCCTAGGCAGTAGTAAGTCTGCTGAGAGATGGATCATAGCATTCTAGTGTAGATCTACACACACACAAAATGTAATGAATAAAGACATGCATTGCAGGACATTTATTGATACTAAGTCTTTGTGAATCACAATGAAAAAAAGTGAATTCCTCTTGATTGAGTTGATAAAAGGCTTTGTACATAGATGTGTCTAGTTCTTCTATTCCTTGATCTTTTTGTGTGTGTACTGAAATAGCACAAATGTAAACTAACGTAAAAAATAATACTACTGTCTAGTGTCCTTGGATTTCTATGCTGTTATTATAAACAAACTTCAAAACAACTTTCATGCACTATTCTATTTAATTTTAAGTATTTGTTTATTGGTTTGTCTATTTATATATATATATATATATTTAATTTTTTTTATTAATTACACTTTATTCATTTTGGATTTGTCCATTTATTTATTGGGACTACAGACAACTCAGGTCTCATGCCTGCTAGACAGGTCATAGGCCACCAAGCTATGTCCCTAGCCCTTTGTTATAAAAGAGAAATTTTAAGTGTTCTTGTAATTGAGCTCACCAAGTTAAATCTTTAAGTGGAGAAACGTTGAATGATTAAATTCACATAGTAAAGCATTATTATTAAGTCTGAGGCTGCCTCAAATATTCTACTTGTTTAATTAGACAATCAGTCTGTCCTAAAAGTACAGGTCACATACTTAGTTTTATAATAGAAGAAGAGTCTCCGCATAGCTACTGTGGTACAAAAGCATCTGTTATAAACTCTCCTGAACTTAGGAATAGAAAGTTTGAGTGTGTGTACTCAATGTGTTTCTTTAAAACTACTGGAGTTTTGAGGGTCTGGATTCAGCTTCACTATGCTGACATCAGCCATGGCTTCCAGAGCACAGCTTTATTGAAATAGACTTGCTATTGGGGTTTTCATGATTGCTCAAGAGCAATCTTATTAAAATTCAATTTAATTCCTTTCTTAAAAAAAATCAATCAAAAGGAGCTGCCTAACTAAGTTTGAGGCTGATAAGCATGTTTGTGGGAAAACACTGGTGAAAGGAATATACTCCCAGTCCTTTGGGTAACTTAGAAGGGACAGGAAGTGGCATGCTTTTGATAATATCATTTCTTTTTTCCCTTTACACGTATATTAGGAACTTTTTTACTGCTGTGATGACACACATGACAAAGGCCCTTTGAGAAGGGTTTGTGTTGGCTCGCGGTTTGAGAGTTACAGGCCATCGTGAATGGGTCTAGCAGCGGTGGTCCTGAGAGACAACTTATCACACTGTGTCCACGGCCAGGGGTCAGACTGTGGCAAACACCAGGATTAGCTGGGCCTGTAGCCTGAGCAATGCTGCTGCCTACATTCAGGATGGGTCTTCCTTTCTGCTTTAAATTCCTCTGGGAATTTCCCACAGTCAGCCCAGAGGTATCTTCCCTAGATGATTCTAAGTCCATCAAGTTGAGTATGGACATTAACTCCGCCCCCAGGCCCCCAGGATAGGCCTTCTCTTGACCAGGTCACCCCTAGAGCTACAGTAGAGCACTAACTCTTTCCTCCTTGTAGCAATCCCATTAAAAGTAGTCTTAGGTTGTCAATGAAATGAACTCTGTTTAAGCCAAGAGAACATAAAGTTTCAACTAGCCCATTAACTAATGTGGACTTTCTTCACTACTTTCTTACTGTACTTGTTGCTATAAGAGATTTAATTTTACATTTCCAGCTGGTTTTCAGATAAAGTCCTGTTTTTTCCTTAACTTTTTACGATCCATTTATCCTCTTTAGAGTGATAGGCTTGATACATACATACATGCATACACACACAAATATATATATATATATTTTTCTTTTAAAAAAATCCTAAAAATAAATAATGACTCAGAAAAACAAAGTAACATACAATTGCTCTACATGATCAAAATTCCTGAAGAGAGATTTTGAAATATATTATTGTGTTCACTTCACCAAGGAAGTTAAAGCATTTGGTCACCAAATTGAAGGTGACTGAGGTAAAGTATACCTGTTACACACATGCGTATTTCTGGTTATTGTGGAACTATGTAGGGATAAATAGTAATTTTCAAGAGGATTTTCAATTTCAGAACATTTCATCAAACAGCCAGTTCAGGGTCAAGTTCTGTCAAGTTTATTTATAGTCAAATATTTTATCCCATATCACCCTACAAGAATAAATAAATGTAACACTTATGATCCTTTGCAGATGCTAAATCAACAGTCAGTTTTATTTTATTCGTGCAGAAGTTTAATAGTAATTGCTGGCATTGAATTTGGGAAAGCCTTTTAGGCTTTTAGGTCACGAAACGTCTTATGTGAGGGTGAAAGAGACTACCAGGAAACAACCCGATTCCATTTCTAGTTCTGTCCTTAGCAAAATGTGTGACCCTGCACAGGTTATTCACTTGGTCTGAGTTCTGGTCCTTCTGCAAAATAGAAAGGACCACAGTCCTTCCAGATATTCTCCTGACTTGGGAAGAAGGTATAGACAGCAGAGTCTAACTCTAGAACATAGTGGTATTTAACTACTTCTTACCAGGACAGAGGTATAATAACTGAAACAATTTCAAGAAAATCAAATATTCAGAAGAACATGCAATGAAACGGAAGATATTATTTCTACAGAAGATGGTGCTTTGCTTGAAGTATCCATCATCAATATTAATGACTTCAAATGAGCTACTGTTTCACTGTCCCATCTTCAATTTAATTTATATATTAACTTTACCTCCTGATTTCAGTCTCACCCTCCTCTCCTCCTGGCCCTAACTCCCACCCTCTTTCCTCTATTTCTTGTACTTTTCTCTTCAGGCAAGAGAGCTTTCCCCAACCAACCCACCACAGCAAGTTACATTTCACCGACCTGATATGCCTCAAACCTCAAAAATAGTACCAGATAAGGACATCTATATTCCTTCCTTTTTTTTTCCAGAAAGAATAACAATATGCTTCTTACAGAACAAGCTCTCTGAATTTAATCATCTTTCATTTTACAAAGATTCTAAGAGTGGAGTAAGTGGCTGAGGAACAATTCAAGAAGCTCTGTCGATTCTTTCCTCTAGCATTACATACTTGATACTGCTGAATAACTGGCAATATATTTAGCAATAAAATCAAGTAATTTAAATAAACTTCGTTATTTGAACAACTGCTCGTTGCAGAAATCAACACTGAGGACAAAGCACCTCAAGAATGAAAGCAGAACACAGGCTTCCATGTCAACACATGAGGTATATTTGTTTCTTCCTCCTCTTTTGTGGTTTTGATTTTTCAATTACCTCAGATTAAACTTTCAATTGCCACTGAGCTGAGGGATATAAAAAAGTACACATAAAAATATTTTCATAACATAATAGTTCTTACCTGTTTTTTTCATGAATCTTCAGAATTTCATTCGTTTGTTGCAAAAGTTGCTTCTCTAGCTTGTATGTTGATAATGAATTCTCCAGTAGTTGTATTTCAAGTCGGGATGTTTGATTTAGTACCTTGAAATATTTTTTAACAATAAAATTTCAATCACAAAGCATTTATCAGAAAACAATGAACATTTAAAAATCATTTTTGTTCTCAATATTTTTCAAAGGACTTAAAGCATGTGGTGTTCATTCTACCAAAGACTGCTTTGTAAATTGAGATCAAAGTTGGAGGCGAACTATATTTATTTGCATAGTCCAATTTTTATGCTCTTACATACTAGGATGTTATACTCATTTCATATATTTTATCTTCAACATTTTTAAGTGCAAAGTAGATTGTTACTATAAGGTCTTGATATTACATGTCATTTAGAATAATTAAGAGATGTAAAAAATCTACCTACTCAAACCTACAGCCTTATCGAATTCAATTAGAAACACAAGCAACTCTTAAGATAGTCTGAAAAGATTTCTGACAACACATTCATTGGACGGATATCACAACAGGTAATTCATCCAAGACAACTTTCATATCTTATATCATTTACTTGATAATGTCATCTATTGGCCATGTCACTTTATGGATGTGGACACTGAAGTCCAGACTACTCCACATTCACACAGGAACCAAGTCAAGATCTGAGTTTCTAAACAGAGACTTTATTTGAGTCTACAGATTTGGACAGTAAACTGAGAGGTTGCATTACAATAATTACTGTAAGCCTCAGTATTCAGAATTGAAACTGCTAAAAAACAAAACAAACAAACAAACAAACAAAAAAAAAACAAAAAACAGGCTGGAGTAGGGGCAGACTGCTATTGTCTTTCTACCTTCACTGGCCTGAGTAGACCAGAAACTATCACAAAAGATTCACTCTGCTATTCAGAGGCTGCTATAAGTCTGTACTTATGCACCCAATTCTATCATTCTCCAAGAGAAGACAGCAACCTTAGCAGAGGTCTTCAAACTGTGTCAACATTTGTCCCTCTCTATCTTGACTCTCCGTCCCTTTTTTCACCTTTAGGTAGATTTAAAATGCAAGGGAAAGTTTATATTGCTTTTAAAGTCCCCTTAAGTTATTTGAAAATCTTTTCACCCACGAAGGTTTCTTAGATCTACTTGTTAAAAGGGAGCTGAGAAGATTTTTTTGCAGTATCACTATCAGGTACAGTGTCTTGCTCTAAAAGTGGAGGTGCTGTAGTGCTCCTCCCCCACTGCTACACCATTGAAGGTGGGATTACATCTGAACATTGAGATATGCGCTGAAGTGCGTGAGTTGGGCCATGAGGCAGGGGGCTGCAAGGCAATGTAGCTCTGTGTCTGTGGTAAGACAAAGAAATAGCTAGGGAGGGAGAGACAACTGCTGGGATGCACAAGTTGAAAAGGCCCTTCTCACCTAGGCAACCAAGGGAAAGTGCACACTATACTCTGGTAGAATACTTAGAGCAGATTTTTTTTTCATTCTAACATACTCCATAAACATTAGATAAAACTATTATTATTAGTGTCTGGAGTGGTTTCAAATCCATAAACATGAAAACTTAATATATAAATGAATCATAGCAAGTTAAGTATTTCAAAGTTTATGCCTCATTTTATCATTTTCTACCCCTTCCTCATCAAGCCACTTCTTGCAAGGTGAAGAGTAGGGTAAGGTGAGTAAAACCACTTGGCACTGGATCCTAGTGTTGCAAGGGCTATGTTGACTTTAAACTTACGTTTCTGTTCCATATGGGTTTAAACTTTTTAAATAATGCATTTTTCCTGGACACATACGAACTCAGTGATTGTGGCAGTGTGCACAAGACCTGTGCAAGCTCAACACAAAGTCCCAGCACAGAGGGAGAAAAGCAGGTGTGAAACCACATGCTAGTCATTGGCATTTGGTGACTGTTGGATAAGTAAGCTTTTGTTTAACAATGTGACCCTGATAGGCTGACCATGCTTAAGGGCACTCCCTACTCCCAAGAGTACTTCTGCAATCCAAGAGTGCACTCAGTGGGGATAAAAGAAAACAAACAAACAAACAAAAAAACAAAAACAAACAGACAGCTGGAGACTAATGAGGGGAGTGGAGAAGGGTAAGCTGGGGAAGAAGTAAATAGGTTGCATTACATTCTCAGAGAATTAATGCAGCATTATTTTAAACGTATGTTTCTTCTCACATTATTTAAGGAAAAAGGGAATTTGAAAAGCAATGGTAGAGAATGTTAAGACTGAGGCTATGTTCATTATTTATTATTATTTTACCCAGGCTAGTTTTTGGTTTCTTTGTTTACTGAATGACCATTTACAAATATTTGGAATGAGGAGTGAACCACTTGGGACTTTTGTGTGAAGAACTGTACTTGGCATAGAGAAGACACTTAACACTTGTTTACAAATAAAAGCCAAGTGTGCCATCTCACGATATTAACTACATTGTTCACAGGTACATCAAACCGATATTTGTTTTAGTTTGCCATACTCCCTGAGAACACATTGTGTTGGTTGGTGTCAACTGACACAAATCTAGATATATTTAGGAAGAATGACTCTTTTTAAAAAACTTTTTGTTGATTCTTTGTGAATTTCTCATAATGCACCTGCAATTTCACTCCTCTCCCTGTCCCTTCATATCTACCTTCCACCATGGCAACCTCCCCCACAAAAGTAAACTATAAATAAATAAATGTTTCTAACATGAACTCAATGGCTGGCTCTTTGACCTCCACCCACCCACCCGAGGTTGGAGCAGCCTTGCTAGGCCACAGAGGAGGACTATGCAGTCAGGCCTGAAGATACCTGATAAAACAGGGTCAGATGAAAGGAGAGGAGGTCCTCCCCTATCAGTGGACTTGGAAAGGGGTAGGGAGAAGATAAGGGAGGGAGGGTGGGAATGGGAGGGAATGAGGGAGCAGGATACAGCTGGGATACAAAGTTAATAAACTGTAAACTAATATTAAAAAAATAAAAATAAATAGATAAATAAAAAACACACACAATGTTGTCATGGAGTATACTTTGTCACAAAGTATACTTTTTGTCCTTACAGCTTTACTTGCAAAGGTTCATTGCAGTGAGTCGTTGGTTTGATTTCTCTACTTTCTGTCAGTACTGATTCCTCACAGGTACTTTTCTAGGATATTCTGTTGTGGCCCTGTGTCATGAAGATCCTGCAGCTCTGGATCTGCAGGAACAGCCCCTTTATGGCCTCTAGCAGTTCATAGATAAGGTAGTTGTTCAAGTGGGCCAACTTAAAACCCTGGATCTGGGCCTGGGTAGTAGCTGATTCGGTCAGCCCATCAGCTTTCCTGCACTCACACCACCAGGCGAGCTTTCTAGCCCCGCCCCACCAGCTCACCCACATACCTCAGCTGTTAAGAGTCAGGGCTAGCTCTCCTGCTCACATGCCCTGTGGCCAGCTCACCCTGCTTTTACCACCTGGAAGAATAGCTCTTGATTGAGAAGATGTCCTAAGAGTGACCTAAAGAGAAGTCAGTGAAGTATTACCTTGACTAACGGTTTAGGTGGGAGGGCCCAGATCATGGCCGGTAGTATCATTCCTTGGCAGGTGGTCCCAGATGTTATATGAAAGCTGGGTGAGCAACTCATGGAGAGTGAGCTGGTAAGCAGCACTCCTCTAAGGCCTCTGCTTCAGTTCTTGCCTCCCTACTCCTGCATGAGTACCTGCTCTCACTTCCCTCTATGATGAAGCATGACTTGAAAGTTTGTAAACTGAAATAATTTCCCCAAATTACTTTTGTCATAGTGTTTTATCCCAGCAATAGACATTCTAAGACACACCTCCCAATAAACGCAAAGACTAAAATTTTTGCTTACAAGGAATAATACATATTATTCTCCATGTTCTCTGGAAACAGCGTGGAATCATTATCTGGAACTGACCTCTCATTATTCTTTGCCTCTAGCATACTCTACCACAGAGCAAAGAATCTTTTGCAAAATCAAGTCAGATCATGGTATGCTGAATATGATAATGGACCCTCTCTGCAGTTGGCTTACATTTCAAAGAACTCAGTGTGGTCCACAAGGCTGTGTGTGATTAGAACCTTTCTTACTTGGCTGTCACTCCAGTCACCCACCTGGCACATTATGCTCTATCCACTGTCTTTCTGACAATTCAATTTGCCTAATTTCTTTTCACCTCAGGACCTTTGTACCTGCATTTCTGGCTGGATGGAATTCCCATCCCCTCCTAGGTGCAGAGTTAGCCTCTTATCATATTCAAGACATGCTCAGGGGTGTGTTCTGGCCATGCCTAGGAAAATATCTACCTCCACGCTCTCCCGCGGTTCACTCCATGTTACTTTTCTTCTGGAATCTCCACTCTCAAATTTGATCCTGCGCCTTCACTCATGCCATGTTTTTCTGCCACAGTGTCAGTTACACAGAGGATGCACTGCTTGTGTCCAGAGCTCTCCAGCACAAAAATCAAGCACACTGGGATATTCAACTATGTGCTGGGTGACATGCTGAGTGCACAACAGACTGCAAGGTAGGTAAGGAAGGTAATAGCCCCACATGAGTAGTTAGACATTCACAGCCCAAATCTAAAGAGCTGGAAGAAGAGAGCTGACCAGTCTTAGAGATCCAGGCTGAGTGCTGGTCAACTTAGTTTTAAGCACAAATGCCAAGTCCTTCTCTTTTCCCATCATCTTGACCCTATTGCTGCTTTATTTCATGTCACTCCACTGATGTTTTCAAACAGGCTTGAAGTTCAAATCTGTGCATCCAAGGGAACTGTAGAAAAACTATGATAAATTAGCCACTGCCTTGCATGAGTCTATGGAACTTGCTGCTGGCAATAACTGAAGTATTCCATTAAAATGACAAGAGACATTTCCTTCTTAGCTTAAACACATCCCAAAAGCACATCTCTGGGAAAAAAAAAATTTAAGAGGAAAGGGGAGAAAAAAAGGAAGAAAAGAAAGATTGAAGAATATAAGCAACTAGTCCCCAGGGACCGATGTCAAAGCTTAAATTTCCCAGAGTATGCATGGACTAAGGAAAGTGTAAAATCTGAAATGGAGAATTTATGTGGTTTAAAGAGCTTAGCTATTTCGTT